AAAACGAACAGATCTTTTTTCACGCGTGCGCGGCGACCTAACCTAGGGTCTAGGGTTTGACGCATATCAGTTTTACCGGGAATATCATACACATACATTGAGCATTTGACATACTTTCTGAATTCTTGAGCGAACTTTTCGTAATAAGAAAATTTGCTCCTCGGGAAACAACTGCATGGAAAAGCGGAAACATAAATCAACGATTTTAATCAGTGCAACTTGCGTGGTCTCATAGTTAATTTTTTATTGTTGCAAATACATCAGGCATAAGTATACATTTTATATATATATACTGAAAAACATAGTGCGAATCTGACTCTTGTAGCGATCCTTGAACGTTAAAATAACCTCGGCCAAACTCCAATTAATATATTCATTTCTATCGATCAAATGCAAACTAACTTTAATCTCGGTTTAATTCTTATTTTTTACTCTTTTCTAATTTTAAGAATTAGAAAAAGATAAAAGTGAGTTAAACCGAGATTAATTAGTTAATCTACATTGATATTAATCGCTGTTTAAGTTAATCGGAGTTTAGTCATGTCGAGCAAGGAACGAGGGGACCCGGGGACGAGGGGGGCGTCTGTGGGGTCGCAGGGGATCGTGCGTTTAGCGACGGGCGTGGTTGGCAGCACCGTGAAGTGTGCGTTTCAACGGTCGGCGATATCCTGGAGGTTTACGGCGAGAGGTTCCGAGACTTCCCCGAGTTCCGACCGGCGAGGGCGAGTACTACTCGCGCGAGGACGAGAGCTACGGAGGAGACGCTTGGCGAGCACCACAGCCGCGAGTCCGGCGAGTCTCATGTGATCGGCCCCGCGTTCCTCGCGCGGAAGCAGCAACGTCATGGGTCTGCTCTCGGATCCGCTTCTGTTCGCGATCGCGCTGCTCGACACGGGCTGCGTGCTGTTCCTCCTGGTGTTTTACGTATCCTTTTTGTCACCCGACCCGGTCGCGCGTGCTGTCGATCATTTTTCGTCCCTCTTTCGACGCCCCGTCGGACCGCTTCGCGAAGCGGTCGGGTCACGCTCGATGCCGCGAGCGAGGGACTTTTTTCGCGACGGAGGTTATCTCGGTGATTGGCAGCCATGCAGTGGCACCATTTTCAAATTTTTCTCCCTTACAAGTAGAAAAAAAAATTAAAAACATTAACTATTAATGCAGATTAATTTTAATCCTCTTGTAGTTATAAGAATTAGAAAAGAAAATAAAAAGTAAGTTATACAGAGATTAAAGTTAGTCTGCATCGATAAAATGGAAATAAGTACTGTCAATTTTAATTGTTATTATGAACGTTATTTTCCTTGACCGAGATGCGCAGATTATAACGCTGTCGGATCTTGAGTGTGATTATCTGAATGCGCAAGAATGCTGTTACAAGTTGAATATGGTATGATTATACGTCTTGTAGCATGTCTTGTTATACGAACGCGATATTAAATTTAATTTACTTTCCGTTGCAGGGAGTGTTGCCAAAGTTAATAGGACACACGTTTCTGGTGTTTCTTCTGTTGATACACGGACAGCTGATATTGACGCTGGTGAATATACCGATGACGATGTGGTTGTTTTACGAGTATCTTAACGTTCCCAGCGGCAATATGGGAGTTTACGATCCCACGGAGATTCACACTCGCAGTAAGCTGAAGAGATACACGCGCGATAGCATGATTCATCTCGGATATTGCCTCGTGTTCTTTTTCATTTATCTTTATTGGTAGGTATTCACGTAAATGTAGCTACTTTTTTATGTATTAAAAAAAAAACGAAAGAGTTACATATGTATTTTTTCTTCAGCATGATTGTGGCGTTGCTCAAGGGGAATCCCATCGTCAGGAGCGACGACGACGACACTGTAACCGAATTATAAAGATAATAGAGAGATTGAGGCAAAGAAACCCCTTTTATATGTAATATGTATCGCGTTTATATTATATATTCTTTTATTTATATATTATAATGGTATACAAGTATATTTTAATTCCACTATATCTGATACACAGCACATCACGTTCTTTAAACGATATAAGTATTGTTTATTGAAGAGTTTTTTTTGTTATCATATCCGTTGTTTAAATATTTAGCTGGACACGCGTACTGCTTTCAAATGATCTAGCTGTTGTCATTTACGGTTCCCATTTATTTCAAGATAGGCATTTCAGAGACAAATATTTTTCGCTTATTTACTCAACACTTTTGATAATTCCCCTGATTTGAAGGCCTCGAACAGTGTTATTCGCGCTAAGGTCTAACGAAATAAATAGGAACCGTGCAGGACATCAGACAAATACCAAATGCGTCGTCGTGTCCATTCGCGCGTGCTGCTTGCGCGTAACGCGTGCGAGCGATTGTAAGTTTCTAGTCGTAAAGATGTAAAAGCGAAAGTCTGTATCATGGCAGGGATTGCGTGTTTAAGGGCAATAATACAATCGTAATATTTTAATATTACATTTTATTACAAATTAATCCAAATCCGGGGATGCGTTTCCCAAATGAGAAAGTCTTCCCCTTTTTCGAAGGATCTACCGCGAGTTTCCTCTTTCACCCCCTCTTTCTTACAAATGCGACGATCTGTAACGAATATTTTTTTCAGGGGAGACGAGCCGTGACCTACGATTTTTCGACCGCGTTACATCACGCGGCTCCTCTTATCGACCGCCTCGTTGAAATGAACCCGGAGTCGACGATAACAGGCGCTATCGCAAACGCGAGAAAGAGAGTACACGGGAACACGAGACCACGTCGTCATCGCCGTTCTATTTCGCGTGTTTACCGTGTCAAGTTGACTCAGGTTTAATGGCAGTCGGATGAGATTGGATCGATTTAATGGGCGCGGTGAAGGTGATTAGTCCATCCTCCCCTCGTCGTGGAAGGGCGCGCGCTTATTTTTAGATCGAATTCAAAGCGAAATCTACATAGCTGTCGCCTACGACCTATATATATGTGTACGTGTGTGTGTGTGCGTGGGCGCAATGGATTTTTTTCGTCTTGCATTCCCCGAAAAATCCGGCCACCCTCGGTCGGAGGGAGTCGGTCATCCGAGCCGGTCGGGAAGCCCATTTAATTCTCGTCGTTGCGTCGTCGCGCAAATTGCTCGGAACTAATGCAAAATCGATTCACCACGATGTTCTCCCCGCGCGCGCGGCGGGATCCCGGAATTTGCGGAACGGATGAGAACCGCAAATCGATCCCCGCGCGTATGTATCCGAGGGGGATAATAATCGAAGAGGGTCGCGCAACCCCCCGCCGCACGCCGCGCCGCGCCGGTGCCGTTAACTCTCGGCGCTGTTTCGCGCCCTCGTTAACGCTCGTTTGGTCAATCTCTTCGCCTTTCTCGCATACGTTAGCGGCCTTTCATGTTTTCTCTCCGCAACAACCACGCCTTTTCCGCGGTAGAAAGATCAATTTCGGAGAAATTGAAGGGAAAGTGAAGGGAGAGGCTCTCTTTCTTTTTTGTTTTTAATGTAAGAAACTTCTGAATTTGAGAAAGGGAACGGAGAACAACTCCCCCCTGATTTGAATCGCAGTTGATTAAGTTTTAAGGAATCTTCTGTAAATTCAGAATTGTAGTAGAGAAAAAATTTTCTCCTTTATCTATGTATCATGAATCATGCATGCAAGTAGCGTTTAAATTTGACTAAGAGACAAATAAAAGAGATCTCTTCCCAGATAGCACAGCTGATCTTTATGAATTCAAAAAGATCTGAATCTGATCTTTATGAATTCATAAAGATCAACTGTGCTATCTGGGTTGCTATTTATGAAATACAAGACGATTTGATGAAATTGTAAAGTCCACTCGCGCGTACTAAAACTAAGAAATTTATAAAAAGTTAATTCGATCAGATTAGCTTCCGGCATGACTTTCGATCGAGCTCTAAAACTTATCAAATAATATCTACAATGTATCATTTTGTTGACACGCGTGGAATTAACTTTTTATCGCGTGAAAGGAATCGGAATCCAGAAAGATTAAAGATTAGCTCGGGGACAGGGCAAATTGTACATGTAAGCTAGAAATTTTTGCTGCGGACAGTTCTGGCGAATCAATCGCCGATCAATTTGATCGAAGCATCGCTCTCGCGCGAGAGATAACAGTGGACCGCCGCGGTGCGAAAGCGAATTCGAAGCGTTGAGCGGCAGTCGCCGGGCGCCGGGGCGTCCCGGTAGAGCGCCTCCTGGTGTTGACGGCGCGCGGACGGCTCGGTGCTGTCGGTGCTTGTCTCCGGCGTGCGGCGCAACTGCCCAACTGGGCGCGACACTCGGCGCGGAAGGAGGATGACGATGCTGCTGCTGCCGCCGCCGCAGCTTCGGAGCGAGCGGCTGTGCCGGACCAGCGAGTCCAGCGACGAGCGAGCGAACGGCTGAAAGCGTGTGAGAGTGACCAACCACTCGCGAGGAAAGACCAGTCGCGTTTCCCATCGTCGTCGTCTTCGTGTCTCTTTCTCTCTCGGAGCGACGAGTCCTGCTGTGTGTGTGTGTGTGTGTGCGTGCGCGCGCGCGCGCGCTCTCTCTCTCGGTTAAAGACACCCGATTCGTGCTCCGGACAACCGTCATCGCGGCACGCTCCTCCTCGTCGGTGAAATGTCTCCGCGGTTGACCTTCGTCCAGTCGCGACCCGGCTGAACCGCCCCGTGACTCGGCTCGCCCGAAACAACCGGGGTCTGACGCGCGAGGTCCCCTCGCGGGCTCTCCCGGGGACGCATCGAGCGCACGTCCTTAAGATATACGTGTGTATTTATACGCGCGAGGTGCGCCGAGCGCGACGACGACGACGGCGACAGTCGCCCTCGCCCTGGTACCAGTAGCGGCGACCAGGACACGGTGATACAGGTGCTCCTAATGCGTGAAATCTCGATGAGGCTTATGTCGTCGACGTCGTCGCCGTCGGAACCGTCGCCGTCGGAGTCGCCGTCGTCGTCGAAGCCGTCGGAGTCGTCGTGGTTGCTGTTACTGTCGCCGCCACCACCGCTGGAGTTGGAGTCGTCGCCGTCGTCGTCGTCGTCGTTGACGGCGCCGTCGCCGTCGTCGTCGCCGTCGTCGTCGTCGTCGCCGCCACCACCATCATCGTCGTCGTCCTCGTGGTCAACGTCCGCGTGTTCGCTGCCACCGTTCTCCACGTCGCTCATCGCTTTGCCGTAAGGAAGATTCAGTGTTGAATCAGTGCGGGTTTGTGGCAATAGGGAGTCAGGATGGCGGGCAACAAGGGTACAGGCATCACCATGCACATAAAGCCCGTGGAAGTTTCCGAGCAGCTACAGGGTGGAGAGAAATTTATCAAGTGGGACGAGGTTTGTGTGTATTTTTAATGTTACGGCTGGTAGTCGGCGGTTTTAATGTCGAGCGCTAGTAAAAGTATAAATGTAAAAGGTCACTTTAGGCATAAACGTGCTTCTTCCTAGTTTAGCAAAGTCAAAAAGAAAAAAAAGAACTGAATTCCGCGATAATAGCTCGTGTCACAATTTCTATTCCGAGGCGTCAAGCCTAGACGTGACTCTTTATCGGAAAAAAACATTTATGCAGCAATTACAATAAACCAGTCACGCGGTAAAAATAAATCTTTCATAATACCAAATGCTATGTAATCGTAGGATTCCGGGGTGGCAACACCGGTGACTTTGAAAGTGGATAAATATGGTTTTTACATACACTGGGTGGATCAAAATAATGAGATGGATATGCTGGACATAGCAGTTATAAGAGATACTCGCACAGGAAAATATGCAAAAATACCAAAGGTATTAATTTTATTTGTGTTCCTTTTAATAATAACAAACATTTTTTATTAAATAATAAATATATAAAATAGTCCTGTAAATAATATATCCGTTACCGATGTAATCGTGAGCTGTAACTTTCCCGGTGACAATATAGCAAATATTGTATTAAAAATGCTCAAAAATGAATGGTCTAAGAGAGAATTCTGATTTTTCCATAATTATATCAGTGACGCACAGAGCATCATCACATAATAATTATTGACTAATTTATAAATAGACCATTACCTACTTTACGTCCCATACATAGTTTGCTTTTTTTATCACACCTACTACCACCTGCACCAATGGTAGATAAAGGCAGTTCCGTATTCATTGAAATAACACGCCTAGCTGGATCAGTTTTCCCATAAATCAATAAACAGAACTTTGAATGAACTGACATACTTCAAACTGCAGCAGAAGCATGCAGCATTGTATGCGTTTAGCTCATTGTACGAAACTTTTTGCTTGTTGCTCACTGAGTTGCGCTAGGGGCATTATTAGGAGTTTCATTTGTTGATATATCTTGAGCTTTGTGTCAAAGGAGATAACAAACGTTTGTTGAATTAAAAATTCTACTCTGTAGGATCCAAAGCTGAAATCTCTTGTAACGATGGGTTCTCAAGACTCCTTAGAAGACAAAACTGTAACGATCTGTTACGGATCTGACTTTGTCAATATGAATTTTATTAATTTTTGCACAACGCGTGCAGAAATAGCACAACATTGGGCAGAACAACTTTTTCAAATGGCGTACAATTTGATTCAATTAAACACTAGCACAACTATGTTCTTATTGAAAGCACATACCAAGCTTGCACTTACTGCTGATAAAAATGAAAAAATACCGGTAAAAAAGTGAGTACGGTCTTATCATACAATTCTAACGTTACTACTGTAAGATAGTTTTTTTCTAAGATAAGATATATATACTTGAATTTTTTTTGCAGTATAATAAAAATGTTTACACAAAACAAAGACGATCGCAAGCGTGTTGAGAAAGCACTTGATATTTCTGGCTTTCCATCTGGCAAAGTGAGTTTGGTGCTATGTCGTAAATATTAGAAAAATTTGACTGTAAAATACTCTGCACACATTCACTTATTACGATAATATTGTTTCTTAGAGTGACGTCGTACCGTTGCCAAAATTCCAATTTGAAGATTTTTTCAACTTTTACAAGTCTCTGACTCAGAGATCAGACGTGGAAAAAGTGTTCGAAGGAATTATTGGCAATAGCAAACGCAAATTGATGTCTGTTTCACAATTTGTGGACTTCTTGAACAAGTCGCAGAGAGATCCACGTCTCAACGAGATACTGTATCCATACGCAAATGAAGCTAGGGCAAAGGATATCATAAATCAGTATGAACCCAACAAGGGTAATGCAAATAAAGGACAGCTCAGTTTCGACGGATTTTTGAGATATCTCATGAGCGAAGACAACCCGATTGTTGCTGTCTCCAAATTTGAATTGTCTGACGATATGGATCAACCGCTTCCGCATTATTTTATAAATTCTAGTCATAACACATATTTAACAGGTTATTATAATATACGTTGTTATAATTATTTTTAACACGTAGTATATCATTATATTTAACTTGAGTACTTATAAAACATTTCCCCTATTCAGGGCATCAACTTACCGGAAAGAGTTCTGTGGAAATTTATCGTCAATGTCTTCTAGCCGGTTGCCGATGTGTTGAATTAGATTTTTGGAATGGAAAATTTGACGAACCCGTTATTGTTCATGGGTACGAATACTAATTATCTTGCATTTATGTAAGAGAGTTATACAATTGATTTTTAATTAAAAATATAAATTTTTTCTTAGATATACATTCGTACCTGAAATATGTGCCCGAGATGTGATAGAGGCAATTGCTGAAACCGCTTTTAAAACGTCGGACTATCCAGTCATTCTCAGTTTCGAAAATCACTGCAATCCAAGGCAACAAGCCAAAATCGCTCAGTACTGCAGAGACCTTTTCGGGGAAATGTTGCTCGATGCGCCACTTGAATCACACAAGGTATTTTTAGATATTACGCTTAATGAAGAAACTATTAATAGGTACATGCAAAAATTATGTCTGTAATTAAATGGTATTTTTTGCTTTTAGTTAGAGCCAGGTCAAGAGCTCCCGCCGCCGTCGTTACTAAGGCGTAAAATAATAATAAAGAATAAAAAGAAACATCATCATCATCATAAAAAGCATCACAAAAAGCAACAGCAAGCTTTAGATACTGCTGAAGGTACCCCAGACAGTGAAACTAATGGGACGGTGAATCCATCTGCTGGAGGAGAAAACGGTCCTCCGCCGGATATTATACCTCAGAATGAAATGGCTGATGATGGTGCACCTGAAAATGAGCAGCAAATTGGAAATGGCGATATTTCCCATCCGATGCTGCAACAAAGACAAGGCAGTAAAGACAGCGGCCAGGATGACGAAGGTCGGTAACAGGAAATTGAAGCTGTAGAGATATTGACGGAAGAGGCACGCATATTTCACGAGTTTATTTTTTTAGACGAAGAAGATGAATCGAGTACAGAGGACGATGAGTCTAATGTGGAAGATATTAAACTGAGAATAGGTGACAAAGTTGTACCAGATAAATCCGTAGCCAAAGAGACCGAGGCGGGCGCAGAGATTTCAGCTCTAGTTAATTATGTGCAGCCCGTACACTTCAATAGTTTTGAATCGGCTGAAAGTGCGTGAAGTCTCTTAACAAGAAGAATGTAAATGCATTCTCTTCGTATTATAAAGATAATTTTATATCGCTTGTATTTTATAGAAAAGAATCGCACGTACGAAATGTCATCCTTCGACGAGAAGCAAGCTACGACTCTCTTGAAAGAGAGACCACTAGAGTTTGTGAATTACAACAAGCACCAATTATCTAGAGTTTACCCAGCAGGAACAAGATTCGATTCCAGTAATTTCATGCCGCAAGTATTTTGGAACGCGGGATGTCAGCTGGTTGCGTTAAATTATCAAACACTCGGTAAATAAGATTTTATCTAGCATATTATCTTATCTATCATTTATTGTTGATGTAAACTTAATTTTATCTGTGACAGATCTGGCGATGCAATTAAATCTGGGAATATTTGAGTATAATCAACGCTGCGGCTATCTATTAAAGCCAGAATTTATGAGAAGAAAAGATCGGCGGCTAGATCCCTTCGCCGAGTCTACCGTTGATGGTATTATAGCAGGCTCGGTTCATATCCATGTGATATCCGCACAATTTTTAACTGACAAAAGAGTAGGAACTTACGTAGAAGTCGATATGTACGGTTTGCCGGCGGATACCGTAAGGAAGAAATTCCGCACAAAAATCGTACCTAACAACGGTATTAATCCCATATACGACGAAGAGCCGTTTGTATTCAAGAAGGTAAAACGATAGTATTTGCATAAATTTCTAAGTTTTGCTTAAAAAATATTTTTGTATAATGTGCTGTTTACGCATTCCTTAGGTAGTTTTGCCGGAACTTGCCTCGATAAGGATAGCGGCGTATGAAGAATCTGGACGTTTAATCGGTCACAGGGTACTTCCCGTAGTCGGATTATGCCCAGGATACAAACATGTAGCATTAAGAACAGAGTGCGGGCAACCACTACCATTAGCGAGTCTGTTTTTACATGTTATCGTGAAAGATTACGTTCCTGATGGTTTAAGCGAGCTTGCCGAAGCTTTAGCGAATCCTATTAAATATCAGAGCGAAGTGGAGAAGAGAGAGAACCAATTGTTGGTTCTTACAGATTGCTTGGAAGAACCGGAAGAAATCGAAGTACGATTTAAAATATTGCTAAGCGATTTACTAATCGCTGTTTCCTTCCTGACAATTTAATTTTTCCAAATTTTAACTAACGTTACTAACATTTTGTAGGATAAGGGTAAAGTTGGCGATATTCCTAGTACTGCTAAACCAGCTGTAAGTTTTCTGTATGGTTTAATTTTCTCGTAATACATCAGTAACAATGTTATTTTTGCAGGAGGAAGTTGTAAAAGCTAAACGACTACAGTCCATAGGCGAAGTGCCAAGCCTTTTACTAACTCCCAGTAGCTTACAACATAGTAGACCATCTATCGGCGGCATAGGTAGTTCGGACACGGTGGATGTGGACGATGATACTCCCTGTTCTGCAGTTCAATCAGCCGATACATCTATAAATAAAAGCCCAGTCAATGTTGGCAATAGTGAGTGTTTTTTAAATAAATTTTTTTATTAAAAATATATTATTTTTCTTTTTTCAATTTATATTTTGGCAACTCTTCTGTTACAGTAAGTGATGAAATAGTAGCCGAAAGTTTGGAAAAACTCATGGAAAACAAGCTGGTCAGGGAGAAAAAGATGGAACTCGAGAAGAAACTTGAATCTCTGAGGAAAAAGCATGAAAAAGAGAAAATGCGGTTACAGTCACAGAAAGCCTCGATCGACGGTGAGAAGCATAGATCGAAATTCTATATGAGCAACAGGCTGGTGAAGCGACTATCGAGTAAAAATATGTAAGTATACGAATGAGATGACTGAAAATTGCTACAATATTGAGTCGCATCATTTTTAAGCAGTTTTTCGAGTGAAGTGGGTTTAAGCACCTTGGCCATGGCCGAGACCTCCGAATGTCCGGAGAACGCGGAAAATCGTGAGGGGAACGAGGGGACCAGGGGCTTACCCAGAAGTCAAAGCGATCGATTTTTAGCCGTATGCAAGGCGCATGTTCAACAGGAACGCGAGCTTCAGGAAAAATATTACGAGAACCTCTTTGCGACTGTCGAGAAAGTGATGAGAGGATCGCAATCCAATCAATTGAAAATGCTTCAGGTGCTTTTAGACAGAGAGACCGCGGACGTTAAACGAAAGCTGCAGGCTACGAGACAAGGCGAGGTACTTATTTATTACGATACTTTTCTAAATAACGAAATATATGAAATAGCGTAATTGATTGTTGAATATATTTTATCGTTTTAAGGTCAAACAATTGGCTAAAGTGCACAAAGATAAGGCCGAGTTGGAACGTATAAAACGAGAAGTCGCGAAATCGACGGTGGAGAAAGGTGTGAACGAGTGTACGCGCTTGACGAAAATTTACGACAAGAAGAGAGCGGAGTTGGAAAGACAGCACGAAGAAGTGCGGCTAAGCCTGGAAGAGGAGCGAGCCAAGGTTCGCATTCTAGTGTAACAAATAATACATTATTTTACTTGTGGTATAAATTTTTAAAATACATTTTAATGTGACAGGTGAAAGCTAACTTGCTGGCGGAATATAGTAGCCGCTACAGTAAATACGAAAGTGGTGAGTTACCCCTGTCACCGTCTGGCGGAGCTAGCTTGCCCGAGTCGCTTAGCGAAAACATGTATTGACTCGCGAAACGAATTGTCTAGCTGTGTGTTAATTAAGGATACGGCATCGATCCACGGATGTCCGTGTCTCACGCCATTGTACGCGTCGTCCAAAGCATCTAGTTATGCAACCTGGTACAGCAAACGCGAATCGTAGTCTGAATTCTGTAACGAGAGATACATGAGGGGAGAAGGAAAACAGATATTACTTGGACGCAATAATTTTCCCGACACTTGTACGAGGAAACGAATCAATAACGACTAACGGAACGTTGGTACGTAGCGCTTATCTACAGTTGCTCGGCGGCGATAAAACGTACCCTCTCGGGATGTTGACATTGTGACGGTGCTGTGACGAGAGATCACGTGATTTCGGGCAGCTCGGTGCTACTCGAGGCACGAGTTAACGTCTTGATACTATTATGTACGGTACAATTGTATATATATATATATATCTATATATACATATATATATGTATACTGATCTTTTACCATTTAATACTTCAAGAAAATTAGATGTCGAATAATGTGGATCGAAGTAATTTTCTATTACTTCAACGCTGTGTCTTTTACTACGATGATCATTATTCGACTGAGCGTTGATCGTACATGCCGATCGATTCCTCAATCGATTGTCTCACGTGAAAACGCCTATGTCTTGATCTCTTTACGATAAAATATCTGCTTAGTAATACAAAAGAGAGAAAGTGATAATGTCAGACTTCAATGAGAAATGCGAGTTTCGCATTATTTGCACACAGTATTAAGCAGTCTGAAAGATTCCGGGATCTATGATAGTCGCCGACGTGACAGTCGATTGTACATTTGCATGAGCTTAACGAAGCATTAAGATCGTTTGCGAGAAATACGCACGAGAGAGGTATATATATATATATATATACATATATATAATTCTAAATAAGGGAAAAAAATAATACAACAAACCTTCCTAAGTGCTAACATTTAATATTGTTGTTATATGCATAAGGCATCGTTATTTAATCGACTATATATAAACTAAGAAACTCTAATCGCGTTCCAAGATGCTCTGTTTAGATTGGTCTTCGATTACTAAAAGATCAGATCTCAGGAGATTCCAGTCAGAATAATGTAAGAAGTATAACCGAGAGGGTGAAATCTCTTTGGCCTAGAGGAGAAACATTGGAAAATGCTGAGAGAGGTCTACACGAACGCGCGAGTGATCTGATATATTTTTGACTGAAAGTACTCCGTATAAAACAAATTTTTTTTCTGGGGTTGTCCGCACCGTGAAAATACTGAGACACTGTCGTACCAGAGGCACGAGAGTGTCCCAGTATCTCAATGTGTAGAGCGATTTCGGTCGGGCAAACCCCTTTGAGGAAGACAATCAAAAATGTTACGATGTAACATTGTCCTTGTTGTTTCTAATTGTACGATATTTTAGGCTACGCGCTACGATACGTATACACAGGTATCTGAGGGGATTCTTCGTAGTAATAACGAACTTAGGATTAAAACTTATCCCGTATCGTAAGTCTACATCGTGTAAATTCGTTATTTATTTAACGTGTTGATTTAGTAAAGGCAGAGGTACGCGGGGTGTATCGTAATCTGCTTGGTGATAATCGCACGAGTAACGACGATCGAATCAAAGAGAGAAAGAAGAAAAAGTTACTTTATTGTCGCAATTTCTGTTATTTATATTTTACGCTAATCGATGATTCTTTATTTCGGTCTAGAGATTGCACAATTTTTTTTAGTCTTTGATAAGTTTATCTATTGTTAAACATTCGCCATAGTTGAGCAGAAAATTGTTGTTAATGGATCTGCGATCCAGTTGCACAAGTGTACTGCACACGCGATCTCATTATACTCAAATGCTATCTCATGGCATTTAGTGTTTTCGAAATTTAGACTCTTCTCTTTATGCATTACAACTACGAATTTAAGTACATTCTTTCGTTGCGTGTACTTACATCGAAAGAGCCATATTTTGATCTGATCGATTATAGTTTTCGAATAAGAGTGTATGCGCACAGGTATGAAAGTATAATTACTTGCGAATTTGAACGAATCTCGATATGAATTGTATTTCAATATTATATTTTACATTGAACTTTTTAGTCTTAAAGCACAAAGAGTATATGTTCATCTCAATTATATATATATTTTTAAATTTCTGCTTTTTTGTATTGTTTTATAATTTTGTCGAGCTTATAATTTTTAATTTAGCGTTTTTAATTCTTTGAAGTTACATTTGGATGTAATATGGGAAAATATGATGTTATTTTTATAAACTTTAAAAAATGAAAATTTTATAATTATATAATTTGTATAGATTATATTTTATAAATATCTTTTATAATTGTACCATCGCGTGCAATAATAGTCAATTCGTTGTTCATTCTATTATGTGATTCTGCTCTCTTTGTGCATTATTTTTCGCAATCATCGTCGAAGGTGAAGGAAAAGAACACTCGCAATTGTGGCGAGAACTCTAACAAGCAGAGAACAACTGGAAGAGCAATTAAGACATACGCATTTATTATTGCAAGCGATAGTGCATCCCGTAAACTTAAGAATGTTAAAGTTATATCCCGTGCACCTCTCTCAGATTTAATAATATTTCGTTTGCGATAAATATAAAAAGTATGGCATTTAGTTCTTTTGAACAGTCGCTATGGCGTCTTTCACAGGAAGGAAGGAGAAAGAGAGAGGGTAGCTGATATATATATATTTCATACTTTATCATTAAAAAGTACGCAGAGTTACCATTTTTTAGTCGACGTTTATTATCGCGATAGCATTTTTTGTCAAGTTACCGATTGTTCGTGAGGTTGTAGCTTGTATCGTAGCGGACGCGACTTTATCCGATATGATGGTAGATAATTGTAATAAAGATAATATGAACGATAATATATTTAATGCAATGCATGTGTAACTCTTCTATCTGGTACGCTCGGAATGTACGCGAAGAGATCAATATGCGTGGACAAGTATTTGTGAAATTGGGCAGATGCCACGTCGGTTAAAGTACGCATCCTCTGCGACATCTCGAGCAACTCCCGTGGCGATGTAACGATAGAAGAAAATCGATTAATTGCGTAATGCGACGCGTAGTACTACGGTACACTGAATCTCTATTGTTACACGTATAGATATTTGTTTTCTAACATTCTGATATTTATTTTGAGGCGTTGCTTTTACCTCGAACGCATTACAAGTTTGTTACATTCGTAAGTTTTTCGATGTTTCGCCTCTCCGTAACGAAGCAGATTTTAGTACGAGCGTTTACTTTGCGAAACGTAATTATCGTTTTCGAGCTTGCGATATTAGTATATATATAGTATATGTATATATAGGTAATATATTGACTTTTCTCCTATGTCGGTTACGGCATTGAAGCGTGCAATCTTTTTGAATATATTTTCGTTAACTAAGCTATATTATCACGTTGAGGTTGACGACCTCTCGTATATTGCGATATATACGAGATAACTGGAATATAAGCGATAAGAGTGAGCAAATGGAAGAGTATTTCCAATTATATAGGTTTTTCCTTATATTCCAATGGTAATCCGAGTTTTAGCTTCGTTATCTTTGTCAATTGAGGAGTTGGAAATCGAATCTATACCGTTATTCTTTATACAGTTGTACATTGCATTCGAATATTGTTATACTTATGCGTTATATCGGAATATTGTATTCTATGGATGACGTTTGTTTGTCGCTTTTTTTTTCGAACTGTATAAATTTTAAGCTCGTTTTTTGAGCTTAGATGAAGCTATTTACGCTGTTATCACATCCAATTCCTCGATTGCAGTCGTTTCGCGTCTAGTGTGATCTACCTATGCATTTATGTCCTTCGACTAGATCAGATCGAGTTGCTGTGTGTATTTTGTCGAAGATCTTTTCCCGCGCATTGTATGTGGATGTCGCATACTTGCCTGGGACACGATCGTTCTTCTCCTACATTCGTGTAATGTACATATATACGCGTGTATGTACGTTACACACACATGCGTGTGTACATAAGATAAATTTAGATCTAACGGGATATAGATAATAATATATACATATATATATATTCACGTTGATATATTATATGTGTTGTTGTTGTTGATGTTGTTAATCGTAGGATAGCCATAAAGAGAAAAATGGTAGCGCTAGCGTAATCGTTGTTAATATAAGAGTACTACAAGAAACAACAAAATAAGAGTTCTCTACGCTACGACGAACACGTTCGCGGACGGATTGTTAATTAATCGCAACATTAATTGATGCACGCGTCACGATGTTGTCAATTTGTACCTGCGATCTTATCTCGACCACTCTGGCGTTAGTCTTTTTTTTCTCTTGGATTTTGCTTCTATTGCAAGATCTCTGATTTGAGGATCGCTTTCGTTATCAGCTCTAGAATCTCCCTGTCGGTGCTTAACGTCAAAGTGGTCGACTCTAGTGGCGGTGCTTCTCGAGGCGCCGCGGCTACCCCTAAGGTTTGCCAAATAGATATTTATAAAACATGTCGAGCTATCCGCCGAGGATTCCCATAACGGACGTGTCTGTCGTTCTAGAGTAACCGCGAGAGTTTCGCATATGTAACGTGTATATTATACGTAAGATATGCGTGGTTTGAAACGGCCTACAAACGATCAGTAGTGACTTGGCTCAGCTTATTGTAATATCGTTCCATTCTCTCCGAAGATATCGCACTTGCCGCTTTAGTGTCCCGAGGTTTCCACAAATTGGAGCGTCTAAACGTCCGCCGACGGGTCGAGAAACTGAGCGTTAGATCGTTCCCCGCAACCAGGTTCGCATCCGCGAGGATCTTTCGCCTACTTTTATCCGTGCTTTTGTCGCGTCCCATCCGTCGCGTCAGTCCCTCGTCTCACCGTGTAATAAGGATCTCCTTAACAACGATTCTTCGTACCTGACCGTACTATTGTCCTCGACGTTGCGTCCCTCTTCGATCCACTCGTGTGTCGAAGACAGCGAAAAATCTTTTAACGGATATGTCTACGAAGAAAGCATATATATACATATATATATACAATCTGTTCTTTCAAGCGCTCGCAAAAGATAATATTCTGACGGTCGATTAGGCTGCACCGACATTTACGAAGATATTAGGACTCTATTACTGTGTAGCCGCCGACGTGCGTTTTTTTGGATCGTCTATCAGTTTTAGCAGCGACGCTATCGCCAATTCTCAACCGACAATGAAGTAGAATTAAAATTCGACGTACGTGTGTAAATATGGTGCAACGACGATATTCTATAGAGAGCCTGCGTTGCTGGTTCGAATTGACGAATTGAACTCCACCCCGAGGAACCTCGCCTTACAACAACGCTGCACGTCTACGTGTACCTTTAGCGATCGATAGCATCTTGATTCAGCGGGATATGAACGTACTGCTTGAAAAAAGAAGAAAATAATGCACTTAAGCATACAGCGCGAATCTTACGTTCAACGATCCCGTATCCGTTTCGCGATCGAGCTCGATCGTCGAGATTGTAACGTAACGTCGTAGGATGCTCGTTTGATTGTGACGCTTGTTTGCGATAAAAGGAAAGAGAGAAAGAAAGGAGAGGAACGCAGGGCGAGAAGAAGAAAAGAAAAGGGCGAAGAGGGAGAGTAGCAAGCTCGTCGATGATTGTAACGCGGTAGCGATCGATAGCGCGACGCCCGACGGCGTTGCACCCCGGTGGCGGAATACGGCATATACAGACGTATACGTTATTATCTACTTTGTACCAGAGAGTAGTCGCGTCCCGTGCAAAATGATTTCGTCTTCCCTCCTTAGCCATTAGCTGCGGCAACGACGACGTGCCGCGCCGAATCTCGTTATACTTAGCGTCGGCGACGCGCTCGCGTTCGATCGTCTCGTCCAGGTCGATCCCCTCACCGTTACCCTTTCGTAACGCGTTTCGTGATCTTTATGTATTTCTCGGTTGTACCTTTCGTTCTTCAATCGACTCGTCGGTTTCGTACTCTTCCATTCTTTTTTTTTCTGTAAATAGCGACGAGAGATTATAACGAATTTGTTGTGTTCACAATTTGTTTTGATTTCGTATTTTATTTCCCGATTTTTTTCCCCTCCTGTTTTTCCATTTATGATTAAATTTAAGTTGGGTAGATATCGATCAGAGTGCCATACGTTCATAATAGTATGAATTAGCACGAAATTGTCGTTTCTGGTGTAATTGTTAACGTTAATCGGGTGTGAGATTATTTAGTGCTCGCAACAATGTTACGTTAAACATAATTAGGCAGCGTGATTTGATGATGCATAATGATGACCGATTTCTAGCAACTATTAAATTATTTATTAATTTGCGTTTTTAATCATTTTTTTTTCATATTCCCTGTTTAATCTCGTGATTTTCGCCGCGCGTGTCGCATTTCGATTACGTGCATTTCATCCGTGCTAAATCCAACGACAAAGCATCCCACTATGAAAGTACCTAAGCAGCAACGGTCTTAAATGCGTAATTAATGTATTCGCGCGTTCTCTTTACACGCTCTTACCACGGTAAGCGAGAATTTATAGTAAGCGTGGCTCTTTCGAGCGACACACGGTGCGTATTTCGGTATTTATCGGACGCGTGACGGAATAGAATCGAAGGAAGAAACACAAGTTCGGTTATGCTCTATTCGTCACGCGGCGATTTTTTACGCGGTGATTAACGAAAGCTCCGTGAGGCAATTAGATTTTGAACGGAGATCTTATTTCTATAGGTACTTGCAGATTTCAGCAAGTTTGCATGTTATTTGATGTTTACTGGGTTTTAAAGATCTTCGTTCTATAGATTTTACAAATTCTCTGTAGAAAAAAAGTTTTCGTAGATCTTTCCCTGCTGGATCTTCTTGTGATTTCTCTTTAGATCTTTTTCTATTGATGCGCAACCTTATAAATATCATTAATTTTTATTTATGAATAAATTGATTTCTCGCGACTTTTGATTTTATATCTATAGATACTTTGTTTTATAAAAAAAGCCACATTCTCCCATGGATCTTTAACGAAATGTTAGTTTTCCTTAGAGATCAACGTTTCGTTGGAAATCCGCATTCCCCGTCTTCCTCGTTTCACAGAGTTCGAAATTTACAATTCTCTATTTCTACGCATCTTTTTCCACGAAATACGTAGATACAAATCTTACAATATTTTTTACATTGTACACTCTTCTTTATGTCTTTCAAATTATTCTTCTCAGCGGGGATTCGTGTGCGGAGTGCTTATCCGATATGTTTTCATTTCGGGTTTTGAAAGGTGCAAAAGGCGAATGAATTATTAATCGCTTCACGAGAGATAAACACGGGCGAGGAAGTATCGATAGAAATAAGATGTTTGTCCCGCTGTTAGCAATAGTTGTCGATCAATTACGTCGATGGTGTCTGATTATATAATATACATACATATAAATATATATGTGTGCGCGTGTGTGTATATGTGTATATCTCGCAATGCACCGATCTTAATCGCGACGAAACGTACGTAATGGAAAAACGATTAGGGCGTAGAGTATTATATAATTTCATTCAAGAAATAATTTCTCCTCTCTCTGACTCACTTGTGCCTTGCCCTCGATCATCCTTCGCTGTTCTATTGTATCCAGGTATAATCCCTCTTTTCTATAAATAATCGTATTTGATGTTCGATGTCCTTTCTACGAAATAAGAGACTATACGAAATAAGTGACCGACTATACATACTAAGAAAGCGTTACTTATTCACTCTCGTTTTACCATTTACGGCATTTAGCTCGTAATCGATAAATGTACACTGAATAACTCCTACGATTTCGACATTCTTAAGACATCCAGAGGTAGATAATAATTAAAGATAAAACAAATTGCAAGAAAAAAGGCATCCGGATTGCAGACGCTCGCAAATCTTGCTCTCGAAACACACAGACACGTTTCGAGCACTCTAGACGATTTAAATATTTGGAATTTACAGTTTTTCCCGATTATACAGTTCTCGCTCGGTAAACCGAGATGAAACGCGTATTAACGCGTATATATTCGTATAATCTATACCTTTTGGGATTATGATATTATCTTCCCCGTAAAGTCGAGCTTCCATGGTCAAATCGGTGAGATTTGAGAGCAGATTGACCCTCATCGGATCCGATGCTTTACGACTCTCGTATAATTATTATAAAGAATAACACTGCTCGAACACGAGACCGCATTTGTTATACGTACTCCATACTAATCAGGAATTAACAACGTCGTTACTGAGGATCGTGCGGAAGGCTTGCCGTGACAGGTGATGTCCTCGTTCGTAATGTAGGAAATAGGCGGGTATATTTGCGGAAGGTCCCGATAACTAGAATACACTGAAAGTTAGAAAAAAAAAAGTCTTCGCGTTATCGATTACGTTCACAGGAGCATAAAAATATACGTTACGCGCGCGGCGGGTGTTTAAAATACATCTCCCGTTTGTGATTAACTACGCCGTCGCTTGTTAGTGCTTGATTTAAAGTATCGAGAGACCGGTGATATGCCGGTGCAATAAAATTCATGCTCAGCCGGAGGGAATCTCTTCCGCGCCGCGCGTTAGTTCCGCACAGCGAAGATTATCTCTCTGAACTTGCTTTTACATACACGGACGATTTATGGAATTATGCGGGAGTCAAGGGGAGGTCACTTCCGACTGGAAAATAGCTTGTAAATGTATGCGGAGAAATTTCGAATAGAGGATATTTCGTGGCACACAATAGGGCAGGCTCGGACCGTTTTCATCTCGATGGATCTCGCAACGCGCTCTCGCTCCAAGTACGACTACTTGCGCTCTTTAGAACGATCGTTGAAGAAAACTCTTGGTGATTATGCGGAAATGCGATTGATTATCGCTATATCGTGGACATTGCGAGGGATTAATGTGTGTAACTTGCTAATGTATGAACTTTCGGGACGCGAGACTTATTAGTCGTACTTTTCGAGAGACGCGCGCCGGATTGTCAAGCACGATCGATGCCAGCGGTTTTAAGACCATTTGTAAGCCTGGATGTATTTTTTAGAGAACCAGAATTAGAAATATTGTTACCCGCTATGCGAATATCGATACCAATAACGCCCATCAGTCTTGTATCCGTACGACATGATCTGTAAGTTATAATAACGATATTCTATAAATGGCTGTACTATTGTAAAATCAAAGATATAGCGTACAATATATACATAAAATTTAGTGTTGTAGGAGGCAAGCTGTCGAAAGTGGCAATGCATTTGTTCTTTCCTCCCTTCTTTTTTACGAGTATAGGTGTTTGTAGAAACGCAAGGATTTTGTTTAGAGAGATGTCGACGATGGAATATAATAACTATATCGGCACGTTTTACTGAAACTAATTAATATTATTTATTTTGTTTTTTTTTTTTACAAAACGATCAAGCATCATCTTAATAAACTTATAATTCTGTCGACGTGTTAGACCAGATAAAAACTACTTAATTTTATTACAAACAATTGGAGTTATCTATAAATATACATTTCGCGAATATACTCTTGAATATACACTTCAAATACGTTTGAAGACCGTCAAACAGCCGGTTTTTGCACGTATGCTATTAGGAGGTCATATCTCAATACAATATTGTATTCTTCTTGGCTGTTTTTGCTTTTAAGCGGTATCAAGACATTCTGGCTCATTATTTCGCTCACCAGATGATCCACGAATTCGCCTTTCATGTCATCGGGAATCCGCTTGATAAAAGGATTGACGGCGATCACGTGATCTGCAAAAAGCACAAACATGACTTTACTTGGAACAAACGAGGCGATAAAGAATCCTAATTAAGTCGCGACGATTAATTTTCATTACAACGATTTAATTTAATAACTCTTTATGTGTTTTCTGTAGATAGACAATAATTTGTCTTGTTATTGCAGTATCTTACTTTTGAGACTTTGTTTGCTGTATTGATAACTTTTCTCCCTTTTGCTACAGTGCAGAATTTCGAAACCAAGGTCCTCCAGCATCTTTCGCAGACTCGCTCGGACATCTTTGCACATTCTTCGTTGGAAATACGGTACGTAACGGCCCGCATCCTTTAAAGAAAAGGACACAGAGGCATTTGAATTTTATTTTTATAACATTATCGTGCGTTATAGCCATTTCGGTCATTAATACCTGAACATAAGACTGATATCGTGGATCCTGCTTGATCCTCAAATATGCATTGAACCCACAATGGTACCCAAGAAACATCATAAGCGCTTTCCCATTTGGTCGCAGGACCTTGTAAATGTTCTCGAAAGCGCGCCTAAAATTGATAACTTAATTAGAAAAAATTGTACACGGGATAAACATTTTCTTTATCTCGATTAAGCGCTTACCAATATAATGTGAATATTTTCGTGTATATTACTTCTAATAATATCAAAATTAATTGTGGAAATTAACAATTTTATTTACGAAAGCTTTCTTTCTTTGATCGTTACCCAAGAAATTGAAAATTACCACATATCGTTACACCAATGCAAACAGTAAAATGACACAACATTGTCATATTGTTCGACTTGATCACTCGGCAACTCCGACGCTTCGATGTCCAGAACGATGTAGGATAATCGTTTATCGGAGTACTTCTGGCGGGCGTAATTCACCATCGGTTGCGATATATCCGCGCCTGTAAAGACGGCGACAGGCGAGATTCTTTATCGTTTTCCGCCAACAATGCAAGGGGTTCTTCATTTCCAAATTTTCATTTACTCACCTACTACCTCCGCGTCACGCGGCAAGATCGGCAATAACATTTCCTTGGTAATGTTCCCTGGACCTGAACCGACATCGAGACATTTCCCACGCATTTTGGACAATTCATAGGTGAACTCCTCGACGACGTCCTGGGCGTCGCGTCGTTGCATGTTGCTTCCATGGGTTACATAGTCCTCGACTTTCTCCATGATTCTCCGCCGATATGATCTGTGCCATGGTACATACTCTTTGTCAAGGTAGTTCTCTTGTCCTTATACTAGAGAAAATCGATTTTCTATAGATTTTCTTGAAACTGTGAATATATGTTAATTCAGGTGTGCTTTATGCGTGGTATGAATTTCAGTACCTCCTCCGGTATAAAAAATCAAGATACTAAGCCTCAAAGTTTTAATTTTTACAAAAAAAATTTAAAATTTAATTTTTTTTAATTTTGGCATTTTTTCCTTATAGAACTCGACGAGAGGAGCAACTTTGGTCCCTTTGGCCAACCTCGTATCTTTTACCGTTTGGCCTGGAAAACCTTTTCATTAGTAAATAAAGTTGAAACTTTGAGGCTCAGTATCTTGATTTTTTTATACCGGAGGAGGTACTGAAATTAATACCACGCATAAAGCACACCTATATTAACGTATATTCACAGTTTCAAGAAAATCTATAGAAAATCGATTTTCTCTAGTGTAAGGACAAGAGAACTATCTTAAACAATTGCTTCGAGCGGTAACGCCAGGCCGGAGACGCGGCTCTTCGGCGACCTCGGCAGCGCGAGCCGCGGAGGCACGCACACGAAGCCGCGTCGGACATACACGAACACGGGCTCGGGCTTCGTGCGCGCACCCCCGCCGCTCGTGCCGCGGGGGCGCTCCGGCCTGTCGCCTGCGGTTCAGTAGTTCAATTTCGCGATACGCGGGCTTCAAGTTGAGTGCGTGTGAAAGTGCGTTAATTATTGCGTAATTTGTGCGAATCTTGTGCGATTTGATGTCCCACTATCGACGGTGCGAATCGATGCGACAAGTACATCGCTTACACGGACCGGCAAACGAAAAAGAAGACATGGTAAGTGATCGTCTCATGTATACGTAACACGCGCAATTATTACTAAGGTTAACGTTTGATCTTACGTCCGACGTCCGAGTCCCTCTTCGTACGGTCAAAATATCGATCGATGCCGGGGGTGGTATATGTGACACTCACAATGCCGGGTCCGCTCCTCTACTGCTGACTTTTTAACTTCGTCTTTGGTATTTATATTCGGCGGCTCGGTACAAATGACTTGCCTCTTCCTCCGCGTTCTCCCATTTTATTCATGTCTCCCTACCAGCCTGTCCTATTCTTCGTCGTCTACTGTGTGCGCCTACCTCAATATCCAAATTCTTTCCATGCTGGGCCACTCCGCGCTGCTATTATTTCATTTAACGAAAATTGAATATAATCTATGCGTATCCGGTCGTCTCGGTCCCGTCCTACCGCAATGTATAGGTCACGCTTGATATTTGGTAATATTGATAAATGGATGATAAAGAGGGGAGATCGTAAAAAATATTATTTATTCAAAATACAATTTGCGTACGCAGTTGGACTGTGAAAGCGAGGGACGTTTAAGATTCGTATATAATGCAACGAAAAACCGAAGAAAACACGTACACGATCGTCTAATAATTAACGAGTATGGAACAACATACACGTATGGCACGAATTTAGACAGGACCACGTATCTATTTTGGTAAGGGAATGAGGAGAGTTCTTAAAATGGAAAAAAACTATTAGCTATTTTTAAACACTTACAGCTGCTATGGCTTTATACATTCTAGCGCGAGAAACGCGCTAGAAAATCTCATCCGCGCGCGCAAACGATCCTTTTCAATTCTTGCTCGATTCGTTACTTTTCGATTACGTCGTTTGCGCTTAATCGACGAGTCGACCTTTAACAAAGTCAAAAGTGCGGCGCGAGTTTAAATCCGATATAAAGTACGCGCGGGGAAAAGACTCTGCGGAGGCGGGAGTGTGCGAGGACGAGTTTTATACCGTTCCCGGGGCGTGAAAGGGCTTATCGCTATAGTAATCCGCGGTTCGATCGGGACCGCGTGACAGTCCTTCCTGGATATCCCGGAGCCCTTGAACCGGTCTTATCTTACGGTCGCATGTATTTGCCTTTTGGACAGCGCCGTGTATTTGCATATGCGCAGGCACACTCCATACACGCGCCCGTGAATAATATGCGCGGTGTGTTCCTAATCAAACACTCGTATTTCACGGCGGGTCATTCTTCGCTTCTTTTTCATTTTTTGTTTTATCGAAATAGCCCTTAAATCTGACTTCAAATGCGCTTATTCGACTATCAGTATATAGAGCTTTATTTGAATTCTCTGAACTATCTTATCGCATAGAAATCGCTAGTATAACTTGGAATTTTTTTTTAACCATTGACACAATAAGACGTAACGCATCGAGTTATGTTATCGTATGACATCGCGTTATGTTAAATTCTGTCTATTTTAGCTAGTGCAAATCAGTTTGGTGACGCCCGTATGGAAAATATTTATAAAACTCGGCAGGTTGACCCGCTTCTCTCCTCTGATGCTACAGCTGTCTTTTCCTCCCCCTCCCCCTTCACCCTCTTTTCTTCCCCCGCGCCGTCTATCTCCATTTTCCTTGCGCTCTGCGCGAGGTAATGCAATATGCACTCGCGTCTCTTTCAAAGGAGATAACAAAAGCTAGTGTAACGCTCGCGCCCGCGTTCACGCACCACCATCCGGAGTTTATAGAAGCTTGGAAGCATAAAATCTGCAAGAAAACGGAGTGGGAAATAGAGAGAGAGAGAGATACGTCATCGGGTCCAACCGGAAGCAGCACTCGTCGTCACGTGTCATTTTCATCGCGCTCGATCGGATTTTACCTTACGCGCCGAATTCTCGTTGTTTAAAAATTTTTTTAACGATGGCCGAGTTAATGGCGTTTCGCCTTTTCACTGTAAGATTCGTGAAAATTATTATTCTAAGAAAACTTCGACAAGATTAACTTAGACAATTGATTGATTCGACCGAGTACGTGTAGCGGCGAACTGCCGCCGCAGTCGGAAGGGTCTCCCTTTTATAGGCCGGTATTCATAGTCAGATCATATATTTAAGATTGTCTTAAGTTTATCTTTAGCTGCTGTACGACTTGTTTCATTGACTACGGAGTATCTAAAGATGAATTTATATATAAGACGATCTTATGTAAGATCTGACTATAAATACCGGCCATAGTGCCAAAAATATTTCGTCTTTCTGGAAAATTGTTACTTATCTAGATACCTTATCTCAAGTGTTTCATAGAGTAAATATAATCTTATCCTATCTTATCCTATCTTAGAACTATACATTCCTGTAGTACGTGAGCGATTGTCACGTTGTGATGGAGCGAAATTATGTCGCCGCTCTCTTTGCCACTTGCGTTATCACCCCCCCCGCCACCGGCTCGTCCTCTGGCTGCTCATTCACTACTGCTGTGTAAGATGTAATTGTAATTGTTGGAGAGAACTATTAGAGAAAGGATAGAAAAACAATGAAATATGCGAATCAAACGCAACGTTATCGTTGCAGCTTTATTGAACGTGCGTATACATCCGTAAGTAGAAAGGGCAACGACCCTTCGCCGCCGAAATCTTAATCATACAAGATTTCGCGACGGCGTGAGACGTATACAGCGAGTGCATTCCCCGGAAATGGGAGGGCAGGTGTGAGTCGGCGCGTGTTGTAGGTCGTTGAGTTGGCAGAGGATTTACCCGTAGCGTCGGTCTTCTCCGCTCGCGCTCGCGCTAAAACCACAAGCATCCGATACTCGATCGAGCTCTTGCGAACAGGGAACCAAGGGAGGCCGGAGGACAGGACGGAAGTGAAGCTCTCCTCGCGGGGGAAAGGTTGCGTGCGAGGACGTGGCCGGGCAAAAATTGCCCGGGCCAGCGTTGGGAAACTGCGGCGCGCGGGCGTCGAATTTTTTCAGGATTAATGCCTCGGCCTTAATTACCACGTTCGCGGTTACGTCGCACCTTCCGATACGTCCGTCTGTATTTTTGCCATTATTCGTCACGGCCGAAAGATCTGGCACGCCACGGACAGGGACGCCCGAAAAAGAAAAGCGGGTGAAAAGCGCGGATGTCGATGGATATACATATAGGGAGCTTCTATATCTCGCGATTATTTTTTCTTGTCGAACTGTGTCGCTAATAACGGACGTAGAGCGCGAGAGGATCGGGGTCCTACGACGTCTCGATCCGATACTGCCGGATGTGGTCCGAGGAAGGGCACGTCCCTCCCTTTTGCCCTCTGCCACCCCTTTCCTTTTCCACCTCCGTCTAGTCTCTTTGCCTAAATCCTTCGGTCGGATCCGCGTGTATCGGGTGGGTGGGGTGCGACCGAGAACGAAGGGCTTTGATAAATGACTGACGCGGAAAAAAATCCGCGTCGATACGTCTTGCTCAAGGAGATGCGCGCGCGAGAGAAAGAGACAGAGAGGGAGAGAGAGAGAGAGAGAGAGGGGGAGGGAAAGAAAGAGAGAGACGACGGAAGAGAAAAAGAAGAGAAAAAGAGACGGACGAGGGCGAGAAAAAGCCTTCGGTTCGCCGCGGTCCACCGAGATGTAGCTATCCTATATATATATCTCGTGCGCGCGATCTGCATTCCCTTCGCGCGCTCGTTTATTAAAACCAGTCGAACAGCGTGCGCCCGCGAAATTTACAGATCGATCCGCGTAGAGTAGAAACATTGCCGCGTAGAGTATCGGGAGATTTTACGCTTCCGAAAATTCATTAATCTCCCGTCGCGCGCGCGCGGTGTCGAGTTTAATCGCGGCAATTTAAGTTTCGCCGCGCGTACCGTGAATACAAACGACGCGCATATTTTCGCGACGGGGGCCGTGATAGAGTCGCGGTTTTTTAGCAAATCGTGAATCGCGGCTGGTCAGATTTCCATACACGTTTCCTCCCCCCTGCCCCCCCTCCCAGCCAGGTGACCCCGAAGATTCCGTCTATTTGCAGAGAGTACTTCGACACGCTGCACAGATATCTCCGGGGGACGCGGTCGATGGTCCTCTCGCGGATGCGTGCTTTATCGGAAAACACTGAGTGAGATATATGGAGAGATTATGCGAGATGGCGTTTCGGAGTCGAACAGGCCGCTATTCTCCGCTCCGTCAATTATGCTAATTTCGATTGCGGCGAGATTAATGGAAGAAGGCGGCGTCTCCGCTCCGGGAACGCTTCCCTTTCTCTCTCTCTCCTTCCTTCTTTCTCACGAGCCGGCCCCGGCCGATGGGAGAGCATGACGTTCTTTCCGCACTCGGCCGACCGTGCATAATGCACTCGACTTGCAATTATTGCAGATCCATCCTCGGTCGGTTTCAATCCTCTCGCCTCTCGGGAGGACGCAGTCAAACGAGCTCGCGCTTAGCTTGCGCCTCGATAGCGATTTTAGAGAGACAAAATGCGTTTTTTTAAAAAAAAAAAAAGAAAGATCTTTTTTCAAATAATATTCTAGATTTTGTTCTAACTGAAACAAGGAGATGCAAAAAACGCGATCGATATGCACTTTCTTCACACGGCTAGAGCGCAGAGAGATTTAATTGCGCGACGAGAGGATGAGATTGAATTCCCATCCTTCGCGCGGAAACTGGGAAGGATTTTGTTGAGCGTGTGCACGCGTGTGCGTGCTCGCGAGAGATATCGAGTGACGGAGACGACGGCTGGGATTCCTGGCGGAATGTATCGGAAACTGGAAGACTCGCACGGGTGTTTTCAAGGGAGGAAAGGGGGGCTGGCGGGGAGCATATAGCGAAGGTTTGGGTAGGAGGCCGAGGCGGGGGGAGGGGGGACGCAGATACTCGGAAGAGCGGAGAGTGGCAGAGATGGGTAAGAGAGAAGAGAAGAGAAGAGAAGAGGCAGAGGCTTGCCGGCGACACAAGCACATCAATAATACATGTCGTCTGCTTGCTCCACCTCTTGCCCCCTTTCGTTGTCTTCCATGATCTCCGAAGCTTATAACTGGCTCTGACGCAAGTAACCTCTCTTACCCTCTCGCTCTCTTCCTCTCTCTTTCTCGCCCTCGACTTGTCTCTCTTCCTTTTACGATGACCGATTTTTTTTTCACTGTGCTTTCAAGCTCCAGGAATACGACTGATTTTACCGGCGTCGAGCGAATCGATGACGCCGCAGATAGAATTCAACGGAATCGACTTCTCGCTAACTTTATAGGAGAATACATCACGTTCTTTGAGAAAGCTAAATGCC